AAAAAAAAAAAAAAAAAAAAAAAAAAAAAAAAACGAAAGTATCTGGTTCCTCTATTGGTATATGGATATATTTCCTTACGCATTTAAGCGCGAGTTATATTATAAAGATCGGTTGGTGAATTAAAGTTGTAACAAACTTAACGGCTTACATTATTCTCGACCTAAGATATTGGGGCTCTTCTCGCAGAATTCAAATCTAATGGGCCACGAAATATAGCTAATATTAAACGTCGATTTGATACTTAAATACGATTTCATAATTGCTACTCTGCAAGGCAGATATCGGATCTCTTACTGCTGCGTAACGAGGTATAAGAACACATGGTCCCGCGGAGTCCCGACTTGTTGGTCTCTCGTCTCCTAGCGGAAACTATTTTTACTTCCAGTGGCTTTCATGTAACGATGTAATCCTGCTTTAGTGTTCAAGTAATTGCGCGATTCACCGCGACAAATCGGAAACTTTAACATATTTTCGTGCTTTATAATCAATCGCACATACTTTCGCGGAGTCGTTTCTATCTACGTATTAATCAGATTTATCTATTCGGCTAAGAATGCAGAGGATGAAGTAATGCCACCGTCGGCAATCTAAGTTAAGCTTCGTACAAAATACATTCTTTCTACGTGTCTGGAACCGCGTTGAAGATCGTGGAGGACTCCGTCGTGACTTCCGAGAAGAAATAGAAGGGAAAGCGAACTTCCAGGCACAAAAAGAACTCGAGCGATTAAATTACAGAGCGGCGTCGCTTTGCTCGCGTGTGTACAAACGAAACGAATAAATTTCATCATCGTTGCGCCAACAAATGTTTTGCGAACAATCTTTGACAGCTGTGTTTCATTCAATTGACTCTGTGACATAATTTTGAACTTTCTTGAATTAAAAAGAATATATTTCTCAAAATCAAAGAAATATTCGTATCAGAGACGAGCTTTCTCCCGCTCAGATGATCGACGAACATCGTCCACGAATAAATTCTTCAGCGTTATTTCTCGCCCTATCTCGTCTATCACTACTAATCTATTGTCGATCTGTCCTATTGTGTTTCTATCGCGCCGTCGATGCTCTCACAACAACAAATCTCCGTCCTCGTAAGAAAAAATACGTCGGTTACTATATCCTACGTCGACGTTCTCACGTACGATATAACTGGATTATCGTGTTACCTACGATAATTGCTGTATATAATAACGTTACCGTCGACGCGCTAATTGGTCATCAAGCTAAGCTCGGCACAGATTGATTTATCATCAAATGAAGACATGTGGTTGCCTGCTGATTTTTGTATTGTACATCGGGACACCCGATTACGTGATGCGTTTTACGTACGAGCGTTTTACCCACTTGCGCGTTGCTTAGTACGCAAAACGACATTATAATTTACGGCGTCTGAACCGACGTATTGCGTCGCGTTGCATCGCATCATAAAGATGGTTCTAATCCTCGAGATACGGTTGGTCCTTCGCGTTGTTTGGGAATGATTTTACAGATTTGACGGGGGCGACGCGCGTCGCACGCTGAATACTCGACAAGACATTTCTCAGAAGAGATCCAGGGATTTTCTTCTTGCTCTGCTGATACGCGCTCGTTACGTCCCATCGTGTTATCTTGACGCCTATTGCAAAATAATACACGTATTCGACGCGGCAAATGACGCTGCTAATAATCCTCCAGATGTCAAGGAAATCGGGTTATGCATATGTACACTGATTGCGATCGATAAGGCGCCGAAGTGTGAAATTACGAGATCCGTCCGAGCCCCCCGAGCGGACCCAGTCCTCTTCAAACCACAGCTTTCGCGACCTTCGATCTTCATCAGATTCACTGGGACTCGGTGCGAGGTCTCAGCTTCGCTCTCGCTGTTATCAAGAGGTTGCTCGGCGCTTCCGTCGTCTGTGATTGCTCCTGCTGCAAGCAAATTTTAGCAAAATTTAGCACATCGAATACCGGAATACCCAATTCGCTTCTCTGCTTATATATACATTTACTTAAATTTACATAATTAAAAATAAATATATTTATACACTTATATATAATACCACAATTATTAAATTGATAATTTTAATGTTGCTCATGTTAATAAGCATTTTAAAAATCAATAAATAATTTGTACAAAATATGAAAATGTAAAAAACTACATTTCAAGCCTGACAAATAATGACAAATCGACGTGTAGTTTGTTGGGCTAAGAAAAATGTGCCATAAAAAATTGCATTTCATATAGATATTGTTACATTAATACATATACATAATATATCTTCTGTCGTTTCATGATAGAATGAAACTTTAGAGATATTTGGACCTCTGCTGATCCGAAGATGTCAGAGTTTCAGAATTTTCAAAAGGAGAATGTCAAATGATTCTTTCTTCGATGATTGGACGGATCAGTGGAAAGAGTGAAGGTTTAAAGAAGGTTTCTACTTTTCAAGGGAATGCATCTGATTCCAGGATCTGAAATCTAGGGATATAATTTAAGAGAAACAGATTAGGGGATTATATCTGAGATTACCGTTAATTGAATGTGTCTTGCTCTCTGTTCGATCGCCCTCTGCAATGCGGTCCTGGGATCGTCCTTGTAATTTTCCTCTCGGATTCTTTCAGCCTCCCTTCTCGACGCAGCTTCCCTCTGTTTCTCCAGGGCACGTTGCAACTCGCTCTTTTGGTTCAAGACATTCTTGCCGCTGTGGAAGTAAAGAGAAACGCGCATGCAATAAATCTGTATTCAAGACAATTTTTTTTCTGATTAAAAAGAGGAGAACACGACTTTCGCTAGTGTAATTATATAACAGATTTCCAGAGATTTTACAAAAGATGCAAATGATTTTCAGGAATGTATATCGAAAGTGAAAAAAATAAATATTATAAAAAATTCGCAAGTAAATAAAATAGATAAAGATACTTGGGTGGCAAATGGAAATTAAAGACATATTTATAAAGACATATTGTCGATCCGATCAGGATCGCGCCTGTAAGATTACGTTGTCTCGATCGCACGTGGAAAAATCGTGCGTCTGAATTACGTGCCAAGGTAAAAGTCGGTAAGCGTGAACCGCTTAATTCCATCGAAGCGTGAAGAATCGCAGGTGTGTTGGCTATACGAGCGTGGCCGTACGTAGTGCTGATTAGACGTAAACGGGGAACTAATGTGGAAACGTATTCGATCTAACGATTCTATCTCGATTGACCGCAATCGGAAATAAG